TTTTAGAAATATATACTATAGTTTTTGTGGATGAGTTAAATAAATTATATCTGGAATTTGCTTCAAAATAATGCAGTATAAAAATAATGCAAAGCAGGCAGAAAAAAGTAAATAGGAGCACAGATGAAATAAGATTGTTTTGTAATGATAATTGCAATTCTTGCCGATAATTGTCATTTTTTTGTATTATTTTCCCACATTTGTTTACATTTAAAAATTTTCCATAGCAAAAATTTAAATTGATTAAGAAAAGCAGGATTTAAAGAAAACCATAGTAATGACCAAAAAGAAAGAATAACATTGAACAATAATAAGGAAACTAAGCATTTTTCTACCAATCTATATAACGTATTTTTCCTGTGCCTTGGACCAACACTCCTGTGTATGATCATTCATCTCTGTGTTTCCATTTGGAGGTGTTTGGTGATAGTTTGTGGACTCTCAGTTATTTCCATTTCTAATTTTCTTGATAAAATCTAAACCTCACTGGGTTGCTAGGAACATCTGGTCTTCTCTTTCCAATCATATATACTTTTAATAAACAACTCAGGACACTGGGCAGTAATCTCAGAGACCTCTCCCTCTCTCGCTTCACACACTGCCATGTCCCTTGCTGCCACAGTCATTCAGGGGTCCCCACACCCAGGAAAAAGCTATTTTGATCATGTTCCACTAAGGGAACTGAGCTCAGGTAATAGATCTTATTATTTGGCATGGGCATGAAAGTCATATAATAAAACAATAACCTAGTATCCTTACGTCATATTATACGTATAACGAGCCTGATTCTCAATCCACAGCATTTAAGAAAATAAGAAAAAGCTACACCATTACTCCTGCATTGCTGCTATTCACTATCTGCCTGATCATTGGATCTAGGTGACTTCACGACGAGGCCCCTTTAGAGTTAAAGGGTGCAGCATGAGCCACCATTATTAAGAGTTCCTCTGCACAAACACTTCTGAGAAAAAGAACACCACACCTTCAATTCATCCTAAGTGTAATGATAGGGCAGTTTTCCTCACAACAAGTTCTGATGATAGCATGGGGAGAAAACTTGAGAGAGGCAGTTACGAGCAGAAAGAAAGGACAGTGTCCAAGCTGAGAGGATAAAAAAGCCACAAAAAGAGGAGATGGAAGTGTTGGCAGGGACCAGCTCTCAGAGCCTCTCATGGTTTTGTCTACACTCTGCTGTTTCATTCTGAAAGTGCCAACCTTCTATCTCTATGGGAAACAAAAATTGAAGTTATTATTAGTGTCTTTCAAATAATAATCATGAGAAAAAAAGCTAGAATGACTTTGGGACAGATGCACTTTCACCTCTTTTCCTATGTAACAGTAGACCCTTTAATTGATATTTGTATGGTCAGTACCAGTAATTATTCACAGTGGACATAACCATATATGTCTTCCCAACACAAGGTCACATAGCTGATATTTGAGTGAAAAATAATTTGCTGAATATAATTTTTGCCAACATCCTATATTATTAAAAAGGCTTGAAAAATATATACTGTCGGTAGAGTAATTTAGAGACTTATGGAAGCAAGCTTTTAAAATTTAAGGAAATCAAAAAGGAAGGCTATGTTCTTACAAGAAGCCATTTGTGAAAAAAAGATGATGAATAGGTAATTGATTCTGTAATTCACAGAACTCAAAGTAGATGTTTTTAAAGTAAAGTGTCCTAGGAATTCAACTTCCTACTTATGGTCATGTTATCACATTTTTATTAGAAGCAAATGCCTTCAATTCGGAGTGCTTTCAAGCATTCATTCTAAGTAGCTTGCTCATGACTAGTTTTAAGGAAATGTGCATTATTCTCACTAACCAAAGACAATCTTCCCACTCAGGCATTTGGAGGATGGATCTAGAAATAAGGGGTTCGTTTATTTCCATGCACCTATGATTTCATTCCTAAGTAGTATGATAACTACTGAGTTCAGAGTCAGGACTTTTCTTTTCCAAATTATTTCAACCTATTTTATTTGGATGTGAACCAAGAAGCACTGAGTGATGCTTATGACATCATCTCCAATGTAATATGTAAAAAAAAAAAAAAAGAGGTATTATTTAGTCAACTGATTGGGAAGGGAGAAAATGTAACTTTGTATTATCTTAAGCAAAAACAAAGGAAGAACCTCGAATATTTTTTGAGGCAATTATAAAGAAAGATACATATTTTTTCGGTTTTTGTATAGCACTCATATTAATTCTTTTAGATACAGATAAGTGAGTCATAACCATAGTATCTCACATATCATATTTTAGCATGTGAGTAATGTAGACAAACACAATTCTTACCTTTTCTCTAAAACACATACAAATACCAGTTGACTTTTTAATTGTAATTCTACATGAACAAAACACCCACTCAAAATTATATCAAATCTAGGTCCACATGAAAATTTAAATAAGATAACTATCTGAAGTACCAATAACTGATAAATAGATTTGGGTCTCCCAAATTCCCAATGGAAGACTTGGGTGAAAAATAGGCAAAGAGGGAAAGGTAAACAGAGGAAAAAGAAGTCTCTCCCCATGACTAACGCACACCATATGCAGTATACTAATTCCTTGTTCATTTTGTAATATGGTATAGAGGCAAGGAGACTTTGTATTATTCAGGGGTTATTAGAGGAGTTTGACTGCTTGGAGTTAATTCTTGGATCTACGCTGTGTGTGTGTGTGTGTGTGTGTGTGTGTGTGTGTGTGTGTGTATGCGCACATGTATGCACGCACTTTCCTTCCAACTAAACTCAGGAGGAAGTTGAGTCCCTCTGTGAAAAGCATCTTTGAATATAGTCAACTCCTTGCTTTAGAGAACCTCCCATGGTTTCAGCCCATTAACCCAAGCACAACAGCTTGATGAATTAATGCTTATATAGGCACAGTTGGCAGCTTCTAATTAAATAATTATGGCTAAGCAGCTGCATGGAAGCTGTTATGCACCCTAGAAAGCCAGCTGTCGGTTTTATTGTCCTAAGACACAGGAAGAGTTAATACTTGGCTCTGGGTGTTGGGTGCAAAAGGGAAGTAGATGATTTGCAAGATACATATTCATACTAACGTATGAAGTCCCTGTATGTTTGTGCTACCTGTCCATGGAGAGATGGAGAGCAAAGTGTTTCTCAGCAACCTCTCAGCAAGCCAACAAAGAAGGAAATAATTATATGATCAGGAGAACAGAGCCTCTTTCAGGACAGTCCAAAGAGAGTATGATGCTAGGCAGATGAGACTCTGACACAGAAATACCACTGAACTAGTAGGCAAATACATTTATGGTTGGGAGGCTCATCTCAGTGAGCAAGGAATTAAAAATACTGTGTGGTCCTTTCGCCAGAGGGGAACATATTGGTATAGTTTCATTAAATTATTTGGTAGTAGCTTCTTAAAATGCTCTGTTTTCAAATAATAGAAATTACAGAACATCATAAATATCACACATCTGCATTTGAACTCTCTCTAAGATGTATTTTATCCCCAAATTTAGAAAATACAGGTGTTCTATGGAACCACAGAAAATACCAATTTCTCCACAAAAGGCTAATGAACCAGTCTTGTCTCTAGACTAGTGTGAAATTCTTCAGAAAGAAAAAAGAAGTCCCTAGTAACTAAGTTCTGGCACAGGGGAAAGTTTACATTATAGGTAAATGCTGTAGATAAAGTTATTGAACCAAGTAAAGTTTGTTATTATACCTCAGTATGCTTCTGAACAGGTTTAACTTTTCTCCACTGGCTGTCTTGTCTATGTAATCCAGGTGGCTTCACTTTTAAAAACCAAATTCCCAGGATATACAACACTGCTTCCCACTGGCCTCTCTAACAGATTTTCCAACATCAGCTCCAAATATATAAAAACACAACCTTAGGCAAAATCCAGTTCAAAAATTCAATCTTATATGTTTACAGAAATTTAGACATTTTAATCCCAAACTCTGAATTTTCCAAAAATAAGAATGCAAGAAATTGAATATGAACACTGGAAAGAGTCCCTGTGGGATTTACTTCCTTCAATTCCCAGGCCTGTTGAAAATCAGGTGTTAAACCAAGCACCAAACAATAAAAGCTGATTTACTATTCTCCTCCAAAGATCAATGGCTTACAATTTATGGTTTAGAATAATGCCATTTCATAGAACTAAGAAATCTGTATCATAAGTCTTCATTTAGGCAAAGGTACTGACCTCTAAAACCCCTACTTAAAAGATATCAGTACAGTCATTTGCTTTTCTCCCACTCAGGCTTCCTCTTAGGTCTGTAATTCTATCACCTCATTGTCTAAAGGAACTTGGTTGTGATTGACAATTATCAAGGACTTAGTTCTTTTTGGATGGATCCTAATTAAGTTCAGTTTAATTAAGTCTGCGGTACAACTCAAGTCTCAGTGCAAAATGCCAAAAGATTCAAATAGCAGATTTTTTTAAAGCCCATAAAAGCACGTTTCAGACTTGAGGGGGAGAAGGGGGGCCTTTCAGCAGTCTGTACTGCCATCTAGCCAAGACCACATCACTCAGTGCAACACCCATTTGTGTTCAAAAAGCCCCTGAACAAAAGCAAGTCTCAGGCAACTAGCTAGTAGACCCTGAAGTTCAGTTGAACTGAAGGATAGACAGAACTATCTGACCCATTTTGACACTTCCAAACTCTCACAGAGTAAAAGCCAAGTTGTAATCATTAACCTTATCTTCACAATTCAACTTATAGCAAAGAAAAAAATATATACATGCTTGTTTTCATTGCACAGATTACCCATACCATTGTCATTTGTGTTTATGAATTTTAAGGACTTTGAATATTCTGTGATCTTATCAGAAAAGTTGATAAAAGTTGCCTTAAGTAAGCCTTACAAGCTGAATTATAACCCCTAATACTGTAGTTATACTTCAAAAGTTACAGCAATCCCAAACCATATTCCTTAGATATTGACAGACTAGGGGAATTACATAGATATTTGCAGAAAATCAATATACATGAAAAATAACTGGAAGCCTTGCTACTTACGGTAGAAGACATATTCAGTGTAGCTTGACCAGAACTTGTCATCTGTGTATTGGTTGACGAAAGATGCTGTCACTGATGAGTTACAGGCCACCATGTGGAATCCACACTCTGACAACATATCAAAAGCCCTTTCCAGATGCTTGAATTTGAGATAAAATCTGGAGGTGTATCTCTCTGGGGCTCGGTCAGGGTCTCTGCTTTCATTCAAACTTTCTCCAAAGACTTCCTTTGCCAAGGAAATCCTTCCACAAACCAAAATTCGGGGAACTCTGCGAAACTTGGCATCTGCTTGTCCCTCTCTACCCAAGGTGCAGGATCCCCTGTAACCCACAGTAATGAAACCCCACTTGCGGTCAGTGGGGAGCAGTGAGGAAGGGGGGCATATTCTTGTGTCGCTTCCTTGGGAGGCATCTTCAAAGTCGCTGTGGCAGAATTCATCTGGGCTTTGTTTGATTTCATCAGGAGTCAGGAGTTTGACCAAATCCGGGAGCTGGAAGTATTCTGCCTCTCTTTTCAGTCTTCCCCTTTCTGGAAAGTGATCAGGCAGGACCACCTGCCTGTCCCTGAGATAGTCCAGAATATAACGGAACAAAAATCCATCTCTGTCAATGAAAAACCTTCCCTTGGAGTCCTTGGCTATCTCATTAGCCATGTCTCTCTTTGGGGAAAACATTTTCCACAGCAGGGAATGAGGAATGCTTATCAGGGTGGAATGGCGAGTGAAATAAACTTGACCCCCAACATTCAGCTCTATGACTTCAGGGAAGGAGTTGGGAACCGAGGCCCCTTGTTCTCGAGGGTAATAGCGACTACAATTTCCACTCAGAGCCATGGTCCCTTTCTGCTGCTGTTTTGATTTAAAGATATAGTCCAGTGGAGTCACAGCTTTATCCTTTGCATCAACTTGTAAGGGAGGGAAAAGGATGCTAACTTGTTAAAAATGACCTCCTCTTACCCCAGTTTCTTCCCCACAAAAAAAGCAAAATTTAGAAGAGTCCACAGGTGAAGTGATGCTGAAAAAGTAGTTTAAACCCTGGCTGGTGATGAGCTCTTACTTTAGGGAATATAATCAACTCATCTACAGCTGCTCTTCCATCCAGTTGAGTAGGCAAGGCAGGCCAAGTCTCCCGTTACTCAGAGATCCATCTGAAGGAAAGAAAAAAAATTATTTCCTCAAACCCAGAATGAGTCAGAAAAAGAGAGACCTCTGGAGAGAGAAGAGAGGGAGGGAAAGATTATTTTACATAAGCAGCCTAGAAACTACTGATATCAGCCATTCCTCAATTAAATTGTAGCTTCCCTCATGCTATTTTGTGCCCTTACTGTTTATCCATAAGCCTCTGATTTCAGAAATTAGTATTAAAAAAATCTATTTGTAACTCTGTATTAAAAAGAAATATGCAATTTTCAGCTTCTAAAAGGAGGTTTAAAAAAAAGAAACAGGAAAAGCAATGTTTTAGAGCTTACCTTAGTGAGGGTTGGAAACCCAGTTCTTGTGAAGAAATAACCATTTCCAAAACAATCAAAATCCACAGCCACACTGAGTCTGGATCTCATCAGATCCCAAACAGGTAAAGGATAGAGGTATCAATGGAAAGTGCCAGAGACATGTGCTTTTGGAAAATAATTACATAGATAGATAGATAGATATAGATATAATTAGTATATATGTATGTACGTGTATATATTCACTCCCAATCTCAAGTTAAAACAAGCCACAAAAAAGTTCAATCGTGATGACAGGAGGTTGGTTAAAAAAGTAAAACAGAAAAATATCCAACCAAAGCTTCTTCAGGAAAAAAAATCAAACCTTTAGAAAAGATCCTTAAAACAGAGGAGAGTTGCAAGAGGTACCGGGACTTAGAAGCTTTTCAGAAAACCCGGAGGCAGAAAGACGGACAGAGGCGCCCGGCTGGGGCCCCAGTAGCAGCAGCCTCCGCAGCTGCGGGGAAGGACAGACGGACTGCCATGGTCGGGCCGGCCGGCGCCGCCGGGAGCACGCGGAGGCTGGCGGAGGCTCTCCGGGCAGGCAGGCGGCGCAGCTGGGTGGTTCCACGGTTCCCGGCGCAGTTCGGATGCTGTTGTTTCAGCAGTGCAGGCAAGAAACCATCCAGGGAAATGACTATTACATCATCTTAAAGGAATATGGCTTGGAAAACGCGGAGGCAGCTCAGTCACGTCCTCCCCGGCGGTGACAGGTTGCCGGGACTGACAGGGACGCGCACCCTGCTGGGGGCACCGGACCTCAGGCGCTGGCTGGCTCCGGGCTCGGGCTCCGGTGGGGACGCGCTGGAGGCCTCTTCCCTCCCCGTCCTGTCCTGAGTTAGAAGGGCCTTCTTTTTCTGTTTTGTGTTCACCTCCAGGAACACTCCTAACACACACACACACACACACACACACACACACACACACAGCAATAACCCTGAGCTCCAGCAGTGAAACAAACAAAAATAATTTTTATCTGAAATAAACCTTCAAAAAAAAAAAAAAAACTGTTTGCATATGCATTGAATTCCCCTGCGGAAGGGTGAATTTTCCCTCTAAAGGTTGTTGAAAAAATTTCCCACCGAATGACTCAATGTTCAAGCTACAAAATGTTCTTTTTCAAATCCTTTGATTAAAATTATACTTAGTCAATTGCCCTTTTTTTCCATTCCCCTGCTACTACCACTCCAAATAGATAGATAGATAGATAGATAGATAGATAGATAGATAGATAGACCACATGCACACCCACATACACTTGTGCCCACACAGGAATTAATTCTCAAAATGAACAATGAAGCATTTATACCCACACAAGGCACACGGTTTCTAACCCTAAGTCTTTGCCTTGGCTTACCTGAAAGACAGTACCACCTGCAACCTTTTCTGGGGCCGTTCCCTTAATGAGCCTCTTTTTGGATACACCCCTGCCTACTCCCACCCCATCCCAGAGGACCCCAGCGGAAGACACTCCTGCTAAGAGACATTCTACTCCTGTCCCACAGGGGTCTCTTAAGTGCATCATTAGAGTTTCAGGAAGGCATTTCCAGGGCAACCTAATCCACTCACAGAGTGCTTCCAGTGGAGCCTGCCAGTCAATAATGGCCCAGGCAAGAGCTTACAGTAAGTCAGCTATTTCCCCTTTAAAACCCCAGTGTCTTATGGCTCATCTTCCTTATAAGAATACACTACTTTATTAATGAATAATGTATGTGAGGCACACTCTATCCCAAACAATTGCTATTTTTAAAAGGCAAAAACCAAAAGTGGAGAGGAACATACAAATTAGATATATTTGATAGGATATATGTGTCTATTGCCAAGTTTTGCACCAAGAATTAGCTTGAAGATACGCTCAACAGTAGCATAAATTAATTTCTATTTTAACAGTCTTTTCTTTCAATAACACTAGGTTACTGAACACATTCAGAATATTAGCTAACACTCTAACACCTGATTATATTTGACTTTGTTTCTTTAACTAATGCATTAACCTGTTTGGCCTCAATCTCCAGGATTTTAATGCAGGGACCAAGCAAGGAAATGTTTATGCGATGCACTCATATTGCCATCTAGTGCCCTAAATTTTCAGTGCAGACCTGCATGTAGCAATTGAGCTAAAAAAAATTAAAATTAAAATTAAAGTAGAATTTTCCTTTAACTTTTTATAAAAATTTGAGTTGTCTTGGTAAGAGCTAGTCACTATGACAACAAGATAAACATTTCATTGCCACCAGGTCAAGGACAAAAATAAATTGAAATTTATGCTTATTATGTGCTGGTTTGGGTTGTGAGTGCGTCAGTTTTTCAGGACAATAGTTTTGGAGCTCAGGTGTGAAAGTGGTCTAGGGATATTTTAGGGATATTTAGGGATTTAGGAATATTTTAGGAATCCTAAAATATTCACACACCCCATAATTCTAGCACACAGAAGACTGAGGAGGAAAATCTAGAGTTTAAGGCAGTCTGAGCTACATAGTAATGATCTGCCTCGAAAAAAAAAGTCTGGGGATGATTTGGCAAATAAAGAAAAGAGGTAAGAAAAACCAATCTTTTAAAACTCAGTGACACTTGAGAAATGAAACTCTGCAAAACTGAAGCCCCAAAAGGGGCAGCATTTCCAGAGCACAGCTACAGTCCCTAGACAAGCTTTAAACCACTGTCTACCCTCGAACCTGATCTACTCCAGACTAGGGATGGAATGAGGACAAAGAAGAACAGGAATTTCAAAATTACTAATTTTTTAAAACCCAAAAGTCAGTTTAAAGAGTTGCAAATAATTTAAAATGCAAGGCTTTATTAAAGATTTTACAATTTAAATGAAGAATATCCTAAATTTTAAGAACTGACAAGTTATATTCATTGATCTCAGTTTTATAGGTTAAGTTGTTTGGTTTTTTGGTACTAAGGTGTTTTGTTTTGTTTGGCTAAGTTGCTAAATGGCTCAGTCTGAGCTCAAACTTCCATAGTTAGGTTATTTTTCAGACAAGTAGCTTTTAACAATTGAAAAATGAAACCTTGAAAATTAACACAAAGTATAAAAGTTTGTGTTTGTTCTAAGAACAGAACCTCTAAGGGCAGACTAACCACAGTGGGGAACCAGGGAACTGTTAATTCACATGGTCAGAAATCCTCATATTCTGACTATAAAATTCCTTTTTGAAATGGAATACACACACACTCACACAGATGCATCCTATGAACTTAAAAATATAAAACATTCACCAGACAACCTTAATCTTATAACCTATGATTTGCCAGTATCACCTGAAACACAGTCTGAAGCTTTAATAAACACTGTGAATGTGAAATCCTATGTTTTGACATTATATTATATTGTTCTGTGGTAAAACTGTTTTTTAGTAAACAGCAAGAACCAACTGCTTTGCTAACTCTCTTTGGAAACCTCCATTTTTTAATTTACCTATAACCTCAAGAAACGAAGAAGGTCTGGACCTCTCTCACCTCCCAAGAGGCTAAGGATTCAGTTTAGGTGTGGACTGAAATCTGTTTCTGCTGGGGTCTCCAGAGGTCAAGTCTGAACCCCCACCCACTACCTTACATTTCTTATTCCTTGTTCCATTAGGCTCAAGGGTGAAAGCAAATGAAAGGTAAGATTTAAAAATATATAAGGCTTGAAAGAAATTCCACATAGAGATTCAAATAGTGCTAGAGTAAGCTAGTATCTCTCAGGGGAGGTTGTCAGTGAGGCCTGCTGTTTGGTCCCTTAACAAGAGGCAGGGAGCCAAGCCTAGGCTGTAAGTGTGTTCCCATCCTTCGTGTCAGCAGATAACACTGGCAGTGTTATTATTCTCTTCTGGCAGCTCTCTGCTGAAACACTGTGGGATGGCACATTCGGCCCGAAGCCTGAACAACAGACAGCAACGGATTTCTCTTAGGGAAAGAGAAAGGGGAAAATGTTCCATCCTGTTCTTTGTAATATTTAAACATGGGGCACATCAAGACCTGTGTTAGGTAAAATATGAAACTGATAAAATATGCCTTAGGCTGTGTTTCCTTATCCGACTCCCGTAGCTAAATGTTGAAAGGTAGTATCCTCAGAAGGACAATTTTATTTTGCAATAGTGTGATCACTTCCCACATCCTTACAACTAACGTACCCTTAAGTTTCCTCTCCATCAAGCAGACATAGCTTTTATGCTGACTGTCTTTATCTCAGGCAGAGAATTGATCTCATAAACTTACTCATACTAACATGCTGTGCGCTCATTGTGTTTTATACTCTCGCATTATCACCATCATCCATAATAGCTCCTGTTTATGGAGGCTGATCATCAAGTGTTCACCATAATCTCCAGCCCTTGTCCACCCATCTGACTGGCTGTGTGACTTTGGGCATGGAACTCAGTGTCTACTGGCCCAGCCAGGATTAAATGGCAATAAAAAGGCTATTTCTCAGTGATGTTGTGCAAATTAAGCATTCCAATGTGTGTAAATCCTCTGGCATATTCTATGACTTTTAGTGATTGTGTAATATATGTCATTAGTATTCACAACAGTTGTAAAAGTCATTGTGTTCATTGTTCTTAGACCCTAATAGTGACATAAAGGAATAACAAAAGATAACCAAAAAGCGACATCAGATATAGTTTCAAAATCTTCGTTCTCATCAATATGAACTGCTCATTGAATTTTAGGGGTTTTTTTGTTGTTTTTTTTTTTTTTTTTTTCTTTGAGGGATGTAATAACAGAGTAGTAACTGAAAAGAATCACTGTCTCAGTGATTAAAAATGAAAATACCACTATCTTTTGCCAGGAAAAATATTTACTTTCATGATACTTGTGCCTTCATACCACACAGATTTATTAAGTGGCTCTGTCAGGTCTAAAACAGCACTAGGAAGTTGAATTACAAACCTGAATTTGATTATCATCTCTCTCTGAACTCAAACAGTCAAATGCAAGCACAAGCACATGCTCAAATTTAAAATCAACCAATAGAAAAAAATTGTTTAAAGGTTATAGATACTTGAGCACTGCCTTTTACTTTCCAAAATATGCCTGGTACTATGTGTTTCCCTTGGTTCTACATAGTTCACTTATAATACAGATGAAACACTTAACCTCTGATGGCCTCTGCATCCATATCTATAAAATGAAGCTGTCTCCCTTTAAAGAGATCCTGTGACTGATGACAAAATAAAGACAAAATACAGCTGCCAAATCTGCAGAACATCCCAGGAAGTGATTTGCTGTACAAGAAACAAAAATGAAAGTAGCAAACAGACTTCTTTCTTGTTAATGTAAATCTTTACAAGAAAGAATCTGTGTAATCTTAAAGTTGAGGAAGGAGATGCTTCCAGGGCATTCATTCCAGCCTCAGTTCCAGCTCAAGTAATAGCAAGTATTCAGTCTAGTCATCTCTCTCATAGTGTATTCCTGAAAATATTCTTGAACTCTACTCTCATAAAATAAAAAGCAAAAGCTGTTTGTATCACCACAGTGCCTCTGAATAGAAGTTTAAAGAACAAAGTTTTTCCAAGTAAGCTATCATTTTCAAATCTAGTCTTTTTTTAAAAAGGTGCTGCTAAAGCTAGTTGTGGGGTGCATGCTGGTAATCCCAGCACTGAGGCTGAGGTAGGCGGATCACCATGAGTTCAAGGCTGGCCTGTGCTATATAGTGAGTTCAAGGCCAGCCCACATTACAGAGCAAGACTCTGTCTCAAAATCAAAAACAAAATAAAACTATATATAAATATATATTACTATATATAAACTATATAGTTATATATAGCTATTAGTGGAGTCTAAAGATTTTAGTGTATGTGGGTGTGTAGGTAGTATATAACTATCTAATGTAGACACTAAGTCACATTTGAAATTTC